AATAACCTGAGATCAGGTGATCGGTTTGTTCGGAGAAAGACCTTCCAAGCTATAACTGTAGCCCGTTTTTTTATCATTGTTATTCACGGCAATATCAATTGCGTAGAACAGTCAATACGGTACACAAAACACTCGACTCGACAAATTTACAATTGTAATTTCCAGGTAATTCTCAACGATTTATATTTTATTTTGAGACACTTGCCCTGTCGATGGATAGAGTTGTTAAGACTAGGGTTGCCATGATTTTTGAAATTTCCTTTCTTTTGAATAATAAGTATTTTGAATTTATAGCGTTTATTGGGAATCCATATTTTTTTGCGGATTCCAATCGCGTATAAGTTAAAGTCAAAGTAAATAATCTTTATTTCATAGTTAAAGAAATTATACTTAAAATCGTCATACTGATTAAACTCTACTGGTCATTCGTAAGGCAGATTCGCCTGAGAAGAACGAGCAATAAACTCTAGGGGTTCCTTTTTTTTTTTTGAACATATTTATCATTACAATATTTAATTTAAATAATAACGCCCGCACTCAATGTAGACAACATCTTAGATCGAGACTGCAAGAGATAAACGTGTCACTACTATGGATTTTTTTTATCCAAATACGCTTTTTTTTATATCCTTTAGCAAAAAGTTTTTGTTTGTGTTATATTATTTTCAAACAAACCAACGGAATATGCAACAATCGCGAAAACCTAACAACTTGCAAATTGCAAATGAATTGGCTATTTATTCATCTAAATAACCACAATAAATGCTGACGGCAATTAACATTAGTAAAAGAAATTATCGCCTTTATAACTATCCGGGAACGAGGTATGAGTGTTTACAACCTACTTTTTATTGTTCGGTAACTTAAGCATGACTCCATTACAAAGGATCACATGGTAACCCTACCATTGAGCCCCCGTGTCGGTTAATAGAGCAAGCGAACTGGCAACCCGCACGCGACCGCTTCCGCAGATCCCTATCGACAGCGAACTTAAAAAATACCAATTGACAACACCCAATACAATTAAAAACCATCCCTAAAACTTTCTGCTTTAAGTTCAAGAAATAAAATCTTGAACTGTACTATCAACTGTGTAGTTTACCCTAAGACGTTCGATTTCCGAAATGCCGTCTTTTGTGCTTTAATTGGAACGCGACGAGTTCGGTTTTTAAAATTTAGCTTTTTTAGGCGCAAGGTGTAAGCGGCCAGTTATAGTTTAATTACTTTTAAATAATAGGTCTGTGGTTATTTTACTTTATTGTTCCATTTATTGTTTTAATAGGAAAGGAAATTGCTAAAGGTAATATAATATTTTATTACTTTCTAATTCAAAAGGTCAAATATTATTCACTCTCGAAAATAAATATCAATAACACAACATGTCATAGACAAACGTTGCTGACCAACTAGCAGCATTTTTCAGCAAGGCAGTCAAACAGCCTTTTTTTCTAATAAGAAATATTTTAACACATTCAGCATGTTTATTTTTTTTTACAAAGCACTGGATCATGCGTTAATAAGCCTTGTGCGACCCTTTTCTTATCTATCACATCTGTAGCCACCCTAATGAATATTAACTAATAGCAAACCGTATGTGTATTTGTATGAGTCACTCGATAAAATGTTAATAGTAATTGAATTGTGAAATAAAAAAGGTTCAATGTAAAAACGTGTATACAATTATTAATCAAGAAAAAAAATAGCTCTAGTATTAAATGGTACGGTGAGTTTTTGCTGTGGTAATAGATAGGTACTGGTTTTTTTAGCCTATTTGAAAAAGAAAAAAGATATTACCTACGACTCTGAAACCGTGACGTCAGTATTAACAATGATAATGTTTTTTTTAGTAACAGAAATTACTTGTTTAAATTTCCGCCATTTTCTTCTCTCCTGCATTAGGCAAATTTTTTACTATCGTATCTTTTGCTCAGCACTTCTAGTAACATTTCATTCTGTAAATGAGAGAGAAATATAGATATATTTATTTGTAAGTATACACGGTAAACAGTTAACATGTTTGAGATTGGATACTCTTATAGGCATCCGATATAATTGGCAACAAAAAAAAAATATTGTAATAAAAACAGAAAATGCCAAAATTGTACTGCCTCCGCGGCCGAACAGTTACCATGCTGTACTGCCACGCAGAGGTCCCGGGTTCGATTCCCGGGCCGGGAGAAATATTTGTACGACCTGCATTCACTTCTACTGTGAGTTGGGGTGTAATTTTGTGTATGAGTGTTTGCGCGTTATTGTTATTGTTATAATGTAACTTTTTTATAAAAAAAAAAACGATAAAAGTGTATGGAAATACACCTATTTACCGACTTTAAACGAAAGTATGCGAAACCGGATTCATCCCCTAGTCGTCACCCTTAGAGGTGGAATATTCTCTTCAAATTTAAATGGGACCAATACTGAGGCACCCTCTTTCCAACAAAAAAGAATCATCAAAATCAGTTCACAAATGATATACATACATACATTGACTTACAAATAAATGGACGACGGGTCTAATACAAAAACCACGAAAAAAATGTTCCAAGTCAACCTATTCGAAATTTAAATTGTAATGTCATCGCAGTATCGCGCTGTCAGTAGAACAAATGAAGACTAAAGCGGAGTTTGGCGCTCTGTATACGATTTTAGCGCCTTACAAGTGCGGACACTTTTTAGCGCGGACCCGACGTCCATATAATTGTAAGTCAATGCATACATACTAAAAAAATACAGCCGAATTGAGTCGGTAAATAAAAACAATTATCACGAGCAATTCAAATAGTACTTTCTTAAATCTCAATATAGAGATTTCTCAAAAACATTTTTTTACACACTTTACGCCTTTTACCCATCCGGGTAAACTGTCCACAATCTTCCATTTTCCCTGCCACAGATCAACACGAATCCTTGTTTTCACACACGTTTGTCAGTTAAAGGCTACTTAACCTGGCCTTTCTTTAGGACATCCTCAATTTGAACGTGGTAAGATCGCCTTGGCCACTCACGCTCACCTTTGTAAATATGTTTCGCCAATCTTCTTTCAAAACCACCAACCTCTTTCTCTATCTTTGACACTAGATACGATTAGTGAAGTATATTCGCTTAAGAAATCTAACCTAGGTCAAACAACTTCCACAGTTACGATTAAAACGTCGAATGCGGCTGTTAGTGAGGAGAAGACGATTTTTTCTTATGATACCTAACGGCGGAACGAAAACGTCACAAGGTGGTAAGCGACACGTCTTTCCATAACAGTAGCAGTGCGGAAATATAACTCTGAAGGGCACTGCCACTGCACCTGTCATCCTGAGACATAAAATGACAAGTCCCAAGTACCTATAATTTGACCAGCACCGTGTGCCCTAATGCTCATATTACTGCTTGGTGGCAGAAAATGTGACATGATGAGGAGCTAAATCCGCTATGCCAATAAATGCATACCTTACGATTATTAACGAAAATTTTCATCATTTTATAAGAAATTATGAAAGGGGGGACATCCCTCCTGAAAGTGGCGTGTGCCCCCCGCCGGCGAGCTAAAAACTAACTTATCGCCACCTAAAACAAAGCGTCGTAAACCGCTGCTTGTAAATTTTGAGGAACCATCCGAGGTACAGGCTGAAGCGAGTAACCTAACCGTGCCTTACACTTAGACATCGTAAAAAACATGTAGAAGATAAGTCCATAAAATCGGTAACAATATCATGTGTTCGACAGCAGCGATTATTGCGATCGACAACCCTAACACGGCAAGTTTTTTTTTAACAAAGACGATGTCTATGTGTGTTATGATTATCAATTTAAAAAACTATCACGATACACAAATCAGAATAATTATGTACATGCAATATATTAAAAAAAGGTATAACACAATAAAAATAAAACAAATATTTCAAAAAGATCTACGACTCCACTACAGAGGGCTTGGAGTACATAATCCTCGCCGATTATCACCTACAAGCCCGGAATGGTTAAAACTACCCCAAAAATTAATCACTGTATTAAGGAAAATTAGTCTAATACCAATATGTGATAATAATATTTATATTTCAATAACTCTTTACTCTTTTATACTCTATCATACCTCGTAATCATTAAGAATTAAAATAAAAATAAGTCTAAAATATTCAAGAAAAACCCAAGTGTGAGACACGATTACAGGAACCGCTTTTCGCTTGTGATTTGTGTCACAAATTTCGAAGGCGGTGGCCGGCTGGGGTTGGAACCGGTGAATTACTGGCGTGTCAATCAATAAACATGATAAGTACGAGTTCGTGCGATATGCAAATAGGACGCCGCGTAGACCGACTCGGCGCTAATATCGATTACGAATAATCAATAATTGTACAAGACTTGTAGACGAACATTTTGCGTAGGGTTATTCAAATTTATTAGAATTTGTTTTGCTCTGTACCGTAGAGATTTTAAAAGCTGCTTTATTTATCATAAAAAAATGTAGTGTATTTATTTACCAATTCAAAGGATAGATGGCGTTGGAACTAAAAACGATTATATAATTTAAAAGTTGAAACAACTTGATATTAATACTGATTGTTTCAAATACATATTTATATATTTCGATATTTTTCAAAATTGTATTATTTGAAAAACAGTTCATCCAAACAAACATGTAGAAGTTGCAGACGTTTCATTCGATGTACAACTCTGTCGTACATCACTACCAAAGTCGCCATTCAACAAACATAAGGCTAATGTCTAGCCTCACACAATGTAACATCACCAACTTCACAGTACCATCAACTCCGCTAATATCATCAAAACTCGTATAGACATTTGCAAAGAAAAACGTGCCCCCGAATTTGTTCAGCTGTATTCATAAATTTGTATCACTATACTGTTCTTTTCCCTGAACCTGTCAATTTTCTTTTTTGTTCATCGCGATCCGATAACCAAATTAGTTCCGACACGAACACGAAGTGCCCGATTGTCTTAGAATCGATGGAAAACTTCGCCATTCAATACTTTCTTTTCTTTTTCAGAAACGAAATCTACGAAGCACGCGATACAGAAAAGAACAATCGATTCGCTCGCAACCCAGAAACCGAAAAACGAACACTAGCGAACTAACTTCACAACCCTACAAGAAAATTTAAAAAAATCTAAGGGTCACTTTGTAAAAAAACATGCTGTGTTCTATATATGACTTGAATTGCATGGGGAGCAAAGGGTAATAGGTCAGTATGCGCCTGGCGTAGGTGCGGTGCGGACGTCCGGATGCACCCAACAGGCGCGGCCAGCCTCCCCGCCGCACCAGAGGCGGAGGTGCAAGCTATGCACTCGATGGATTGGCTCTTCAAGAAAGAGAGGATATATCTGCTCGCACAATTCTGGCAACAGGTAAAGATCATTTAAGAAAAAAACAACAGAGGATTATAAATTTGGCATGATTTATACCTTCATCTCGCATACCTCTCAAAGGACCGTGTGTAACTTACGATAAAAGCCTGAATTAAATATACAAAAATTAGATCTTGTAACACTAAAACAAAAGTAGATAAAAATCAAGCAAAATCTAGGACAAAACGTAAAGTAAACTCATAACATTAAATATCATGAATACGATCAAAATAGTCCAAACCAATAAAGATAACACAACCCAATTTAATAGGTAACCCTCGATCAACATTACACCCTCAACCCACAAATTGATTCCACATGTACCTGTTATTTGAGTAACAGCTATTTCCACTAACAGTTATTACAGGTAACCGAAGATAGTGCGATAAGCCCGGAGACAAAATCAATTAATAGAACTACAATATGCTTTGGGGTCGAAATTAAACCGATTACATCGTCTATGTAAACTTGAGTTTCTAGGTATAATTACAGATATGTAAGATCCTTTATAGACACAACAACAACAAGTTTATACATCTCACTGCTGGGCACATGTCTCCTCTCAGACGAGGGTTTAGGCAATAGTCCAAAGATGTTTGCCATGTTTTCCTGTTTTCATCAGGACGTTTTCATTCTCCGAAAAGCTCATGGTAAATTCCATTTTCTACTCTCAGACTTGAACAATCTGATGAAGCATTTAGGCGCCGGCTGAAAGAACTTTTCTTGAAAAAGCCGTAAATGAATTTATAGACCTAAAAAAAGTAACGATATTCAGTATTTTCAGTTATTTTAATTTTTATCTTGACATACTTTTATATATTTGCTATCAACTTATGACGATCCTTAACGGGTAATGACAACAATATTATTTCATGAGTTGTTAATTTTCTAATTATTGCGTATTTTTCTTATAATTTTCATTTTTTCTGACGATCTCAATATAATTTCTAATACTTTGACATGTAGTGCAATTTATACTGTAATGTTGTATTTGAGAAATAAATAAATCTGAATCAAATTAATCTTCGCCCGGATTCGAACCCACGGCCTCTGCTTTAGTATTTTCAACCTCTTGAAGCTCGGTGATTTCAGTCTCTTTAAAATTTACTTTTGTGACAAAAAGTAACCTATGTCCAGATCCTAGGTTCTATCCTTAATCTTGACGTAAAAAATCCATAGGGCGATAATGTAATGATAAAGCCCGTGCGTATACGTTAGGACATCACAGTCGACTTTGTCATGACACTGTTTACAGTACGTTTGATGAAAGTCTCTTCAAAACCGGAACGCAGTAATGCTCACATTACTGCTTGGCGGTAGAAATAGGTTAGGTAGCAATACTTCCTTTACTGCCTCTGTGGCCGAACCGGACTGCCACGCAGAGGTCCCAGTTTCGATTCCCGGGCCGAGAGAAATATTTGTATTGCCCACATTTATTTCTCTCGTGAGTTTGGTGTAATTTGTGGTTGTTTATGTGTGTGTCCATGGCACCCGCGACACAGGGTTTCTTTAGTGAAATTTAGGTTTATCTTTTACTTACTGTTAGTTAACAGATAACGTAGGTTCGAATGTCTGTGCCTACAGTTTGGCCGTGCACCATGAAACTACACCCAATACGTTACATCTATTCAACCATGTGTTTACACATATAAATGAGTTATGCAAGTCGATCAGAGTTGTTTAGTTATATTAACTTTAATATCAATGTTCCACGTTCTTCACGAATGAAAATAATATTTATAAAGAATGTTATAAAAATTTTCTAGCTAAGTAAAGACTATAGGTATATCTCTATATCTCAATACCAAAATTCATCGAAATTGTTTCAGCGGTTCAGGCGTGAAAACGTAACTGACTTAGTCATATTAGTTTGTATTCATCTCACCTCCGCTGTTAGAACAGCGATGAAAATAATAGCCATAGCTGTTAACGAAAAGTGTGAGTACTCATTTAAAGCAACGTAATTTAGAGACACTTATAGTACCCAACTGAGTCTCGATCCAACCGTATTGCATTCTGAGACAATACAATACAAAATCAATTAATAGTTGCACATACAATTAACCTGCAGGGGCGCGTAATGGTGGTCAATTATGTCCATTGTTTGAGTCGATCGGGGACAGGGGTTAAACGTTGGAAAGAACCGGGAAGTTTCGCTTATTAGTATTAGAACACACATTGATTATTTGCTGTTAACATTAACTTTTGGGTTAGCGTTTGGATTAAATAACATAGCTACGAAATGCTTATGAAAACAATACTATTGTTTCATATCTCAAATTTTACTGCGTCGCATGTATTTGTTTTTTTTTCAAACAACCCCACGTTTCGTGTTCTTTCACAAGTTCCGGTATAATGGTTAACTAAGATGGTGTTAGTCATCAAGATCTTATGTCTAATATTAATGCAAACCACCTTATTCTGAGCTATAATTACAAAAATAATTTTCTTTTTTACCAAAACCATGTTCCAGTTTTACCTGCATACGTATTTTTATAAAATATTTAAACTATATGGCATTTTATTGACTAAATCAAATATTGTTTTATAAATAAAAGTAAACTAGAATAATTATAACTTTTAAAAAAAACGGACTTTAAATGTCGTGGAATTACATCTATTTGCGAGGTTTTTCTTCAGAGGTGGAATATTTCCTTCAAATTTAAATGGGACCAGTAAATACTAAGGTACCCTCTTTCCAACAAAAAAAGAATCATGAAAATCGGTTCACGATTGCACATACACACAAAAGATAGTCGAATTAACCTCCTTCTTTTTTTAAGTCGGTTAAAGAAACAAAATAAACTTATTAAAGACTTCTATTATTTTACTCAATTTAGTCATGTTTCTGGTTCTCAACCATTGGGGGCTATAGCAAAACATAAGCTAGGGTTATGTAGTCTATGAGCCTGCAGCTGAGTTATAGACCCATTTAATTTTTTTTTATTTATTTTAATGTCAAACAAAGCAGTTTTTTCTGTGATTTAATAATATTTTCTACTGTTATGAATTTGATTATTAATAACCTTGATAAATGTAGGTTTATCTGTAACAGTAACGCTGGCTGTGTTTAATATCTCAGTATTTTATGCCTTCTCCTCCTGTAAACAAAGTTAACAGTTGATTAATAGCAAAATCAATGTACCACATTACAAATATTCATATCATCAAATGCAAACAACAATCGTGTTTTACGTGTGTTTTTGTTTTGGCTGTTAAATTACAATGCATAATATATCTTCGCAACACATTGTCGCCTCTGTTTCATAACAATTTAATCTTTGACAAGTCACATGCCATTATAATATTCTATTGTCTGATAGGGTAATATCAGATCTGATCGTCTTTGTTCTTATTGTTATTTTATTATGGCACGTTTGGAGGTTACATTTATGTAACGTTATTTGTAATAATTGTTCTATATGAGATAAACTTAAATAAAAATCTTTATATTGGTATCCAGTACCCTGGATCCATAATTTCTGCCTACCCCCTTTGGGCACCACTGCACATACGTTGCTGTTTCAGTAAAGTTATAATGTTATATAAAAGAACAGTCTGCCCATCATGACCAAAGGAATATCTATACATCCTATTCATGAACAATGTCTGTGCTTTAAACGTAAAAATAAAAACTACACGGTGTCGACATAAACAATCATATAATAATTTTTAACTACTCAAGCAACTATGACATTATGTAGATAGATGCCTTACCACATATAAACGTAGAGCGATAATAACAAAAATTAACACGAACGCTTCCTGTCAATAATCATTTCTGCGTAATCACTGATCTATGACATTTAGCTGTCACGTGTCAAATACACACTAATGTCAATTACACGTTCGTAACTCAAAGCGATCGAATTATTCTAATCGAGAACTGTAAGCGACATCAATTTTCAATTGCTACAAGAAATAATATTTCTAATGAACACAAACCAACTGGTCGTTAAATATTTGCCAAACAACAAAAACAAGATTTTTTTATTTTAATTTTTTTTATTAAGGCTTTGGCAAAGCCATCAGCCTAAACATGAAGTTTAAATATGTTTCTGTAAATATGGCCGCCACAAAGAGGATAGTCAATTTGAGGCGGCGTGGTTGGATTGACTCGGGATTCCTTAAAACGGGCCGATACGGGTATTTTAGTTCGAGATTCGTATAATTTCGCGTTTTAATCTTCGATTAATTCCACTTTAAACTAGATTTCACAAAATAATTGAAAGTCAAAATAAAAACGACACTTTTCCCTCCAAAAGGTCCAGAGCGAATCCACAACAAAAAGAGAATTAAGAAAACAATAAACAGATTCCAAATTCCAAATTTCAAAAACGTTCATAAAATCGAATTGAAAAAAGGAACAGTCCTACTCTGTTTACAATCGACGATCGACTTAACGAAATTACAATGGATTTTCGAAACCGCATTGAAATAAATATTCATCTACATTCAAGGAACCGAAGACTAGCTGATGCGTCGCTAAGATACTACATTATTTGAATGCCCGATAGTATTGTTTCACGTACTCCTGTGTAAGCTTGAGCACAGACTTAAGCACGGATTCAAGTACTTAAAGCGCAACATTGATTAAGCATATTTACATTTGAATTTACATATGCCGTGCCTAGAAATGCACTTATCGATTACTGCTTTTGTTTTAATTTCAAGGCAGAAATGTGATGTTTCGTGGCACGAATGCATTATATAGAAATCAATATTTTTACTACCGACTTGCAAGTAACCTCAAGGTTTTAGAACCTGAATGTGGACTTAAACGATACCTTGAAATATTTATTCATTCTTTCTGTTAAATTTAAGAGTAAATCTTAGATATAACTCTTCCATGGTATAAATGAAGCAATATTATTTTATAAATAAACTATAAATAATATCACGCTTGGTTGGGTACAATCTCACCTGATGTGACCGACGATGGTACGCGTTTGCCTAAAAAATGCCTATTCACTCTAGTCTTTGGGACGGCTCTGCCAAGT